TAAATTCCAAATAAGGAATAAGAGATAAACACACTCTTATCTTAATTTGGAGCCAAATTAATACTAAAGGATAAGCTCACCTCTAGATTAACTTGGGGTTAAACTCTAGTATTTAATCAAGATATTACACACTCAATCAAATAACTAGAACCTAAAACTCACACTTAAGATAACCACTCTTAAGATATAGAATTAGGAACTTGGCTAAAATATCATCACACTATTTTAAGAATACTCAAAGAGTAAAAGGTTTTTAATATGATTCCATTGTCCATGCACATTGCCCCAAGGCTACATTATAAAGGGAGAGGGGAAGGGGAAAATAATACACAATACAATGAATCTGAACATGAGGAAGCTTCCTAGCAACATCCTCTCTCAAAGCCTTAAAATATCAGCCATGTGTTTGGGTCCTTTTATTGGAATAAAATCAGGGATGGGTGTGGTTGTAGGGTCTCTTATGAAAGGCAAACCAAAGGGAATGAATGGCATTCTTTTGGGCTGATTTTGGGGGATGTATTCAGCCAACCAGGGGGACAAAGGGAAAGAGTGATGTGTGGTACTTTGGCTACATATATGAGGATTTATTTTGTGGTTAAAGGGTTAAGAAAGTACCATGTGTCTCTTGGCCTTTTATGGTTGTTTAGTGGGCTGGATAGGGAACATAGTAGGGACCATGTTGGGTGAATGTTGGGAAAATGAATGGGGCTGTTTTGGTTTCTTATTTTTGACCAGGGGTTAAAATAGCTGGAAGAGACTTTATTTTGGATATCAAAAGGAAATAAAATACTTTTGGATGTTTGGGGTTGGGTTGGACGGAATGGGGGTTGGCCAGCGGAACCCTTAGGTCAATAACGAAAGTTATTTTGGCCTTTCGGGTTAAAAGACCTTTGAATTTTCACTAAAATGGATCATAATGTTTGAACGTAAGTCCTTTGGCTCCCATGATTGTGCGAGGCGTGGGGAAGGGCCTGAAAGGGTCGGGCTCGGATACATCATTTAACTTCTCAGCCTTCATTACCCCCTCTCCTCCTCAAACCAAACACACCTTTACCATTTGGAGTTTTGGTCAAAGAAGAAATGAACATTGAATGAGGTTTGCAGAGAGACTTTGTGATATATCTCGAACTAGGGGTCTTAACAGAGTTGTTGTTTTTTGGAGAGGAAATGTGATAAATGTTGAAGGCAAGCAAAGGGGCGAAATAAATGAAGTGTGAAAGAGTTCTTTTTAATGGTTTTTAATATGAGAAAAGAAAGGAGGATCAGAAGAGAAATGGTGGGATTAGAAATGGATAGAAATAAGTGTTGGATAAACCAAGTTGGTGTTAAGAGATATTACACACTCTTATCCTAACTTGGGGTTGAATCTAGTATTCAAATAAGATATAACACACTTATTTAAATAACTAGAACCTAAAACTCACACTTAAGGTAACCACCCTTAAGATATAGAATTAGGGGTTTAAAATAGCAAACACATAAGTGTAGTACTAATGGAAATTTCAGATTCAAAAGTGAGTTACAACAATGGCCAATGGCCGATATAAATAAGCAAGCAAGAAAGGGGAAACTACCAAGTTCTTTCCTTAACAAATCTTTGACAATAATAATCAAATATGGAGTCCTTTCATGGTGGATGAATCAGGGATTTTGTGGGGGTGTTGGGTGACATTAGTTTGTGGTTTTTGATGGGGCAATATTAAGGGATGTGGGCTGTGTTTCTAGGCTGGGCTGGTTCGGCCATATTAGGGGGCAAAGGGTGACTGATTTGGGACTTGATTTGGCTCTATATTGATGTGAATATTTAGTGGTTGGGGAGTGACTTCATTTGGCCAGGTTGGGGAATAATGGGTAGTGAGAATGGTTGGGTTATTTGGTGTGTTGTGGCTGATTATTT